TGCTTGAACCGACATGGCGGAGGTTGCAGTGAGCCGAGATCACGCCACTGCACTCCAGCCTGGGCGACGGAGCGAGACTCCGTGTCAAAAAAAAAGGAACAGACTCTCGCAGTTTCATGTATACGCTAGTGTGTATACCTAGAATCAGGTATTCAGAAACTAGATTTTATTCTTCAGGGACTCCCAGGGCGTTAGAAAGATTGATTGCATGGTAGGTACTCACATAATTACTAAAAACATTAATGTGAAATGGGCACTGTTGACAGCTGTGCCATCAGTGTTAACAGTTGCCTAGCACATAAAAGATGCACTTAAAATACACTGCTTTCTCCGATGCACTTAAAATATACTGCTTTCTCCTGTGGTTGCTTTGAATAAAAAATAATATAATATACTGCTAATCGTGATTTTTCTTCAATTTTTAACTTACCACATAATTTACATACCGTGGTTTTTGGCGTATTCACAGAGATGTGCAAACATTAATCACCTCAAAAAGAAACACACACACACACACACATCTACCCCACTGCCCCCTCCTGGCACTACTTTATGTTCAATGGATTTGCCTATTCTGAACATATATAAATGGATTCATGCAATGTGTGGCCTTTTGTGTCTGACTTATTTCACTTACTGTTTTTAAGGTTCATACGTATTGTAGCATGGATCAGTAATTCCATTTTGTTAGGACTGAATAATATTCCTTTGTATGGATATACATTTCGTTTATCCATTCATCAACTTAGGTATTTTTTAAGACATAGTCTTGTTCTGTCGTCCAGGCTGAAATGCAGTGGTGTGATCTAGGCTCATTGCACCCTCAACACCTCCTAGGTTCAAGCAGTTCTTGTGCCTAAACCTCCCAAGTAGCTGGGATTACAGGCATGTACCACCACACCTGGCTAATAGTCATATTTTTTAGTAGAGACAGGGTTTCACCATGTTTGCCAGGCTGGTCTTGAACTCTTGAGCTCAGGCAGTCCACCCGCCTCGGCCTCCCAAAGTGCTAGGATTACAGGTGTGAGCCACCATGCCTGGCCAACTTAGGTACTTTAAGTGATTCACATTTTTTGGCTACTATGGATTATGCTGCTTTGGCTTTTTGTTTTGTTTTGTTTCTGAGACAGTCTAATTCTGTCACACAGACTGAAATGCAGTAGCACAATCTCAGCTCACTGTAACCTCCACCTCCCAGGTTCAAGCAATTCTAGTGTTTCAGCCTACTGAGTAGCTGGGACCACAAGCCCATGCCACCACACCTGGCCAACTGCTTTGAATACTGGTGTACAAGTTTTTGTGTGGACATATGTTTTCAATTCTCTAGGAGTAAAATTGTGGGGTCATATGCCAACTCTTTTTTTTGAGACGGAGTTTTTTGCTCATTGCCCAGGCTGGAGTGTAACGTGATCTCGGCTCACTGCAACCTCCACCTTCAGAGTTCAAATGATTCTCCTGCCTCAGCCTCCCAAGTAGCAGGGATTACAGGCATGTGCCACCACGCCTGGCTAATTTTATATTTTTAGTCGAGACTGGGTTGATGGGATTACAGGCCTGAGCCACACTGTGCCCAGCCTGCTAACTCTTGTGTAACGTTTTGAGGCACTGCTAAACTGTTTTCCAAAGCACCTGTACCACTTACATTCCCATGAGCAATGTAACAGGCTTTGGTATTAATTTCCTAATTCTGTAGTAACAAATTACCACAAATTTTTTTATTTTATTTTTTTGAGACAGGGTCTTTCCCTGTAGTATAGTGGCATGGTGTCATCTCGGCTCACTGCAATCTCCACCTCCTAGGCTCAAGCAATCTTCCTGCCTCCGCCTCTTAAGTAGCTGGGACTACAGGCACACACCACCATGCCCAGCTAATTTTGTGTTTTTATAGAGACAGGGTTTTGCCATGCCACTCAGGTTGGTCTCAAACTCCTGGATTCAAGTGATCCACCCATCTTGGCCTCCCAAAGTGCTGGAATTACAAGCATGAGCTGTGGCACCCAGCTAAGGGCTCATTTTTCATCATAAACAATACTGCGTAAAATTATAGCTGACATTCCATTATTACCTTGCCTAGTAGGTTTCCAGAGAAACAGTGCTGAAAGGCAAATTCGAGGTCATTTCACCAGGGAGAAAGAAAAAGGGTTTTATTAACCCTTTACTCATAGTAGTCCAGGGTAATCTCACATATCAGGATCCAGTCTTCTCTATTGCTGCTCTGCCATTCATGGTTTCTGTTTCCAAGGTTACTTTGAAGTCTAAGAATCCTGCTGTAGCTCTAGCTACCACATCTATGTTTCGGCAGGAACAGATAAGCCCACCTGCTTCCTCTTAAGCCTTTAAGCTTAAGGAAACTTCCCAGAAGCACCACTCAGCACTTGTTTTTTTCTGCCTCTTTTTTCCCCACAACTCAGCATTTCTTATTCCATGTCAATGCCAGAACTTAGTCATATGACCACACGTATCTGCAAGGAAAGCTAAGCACACTGCTAACCTGAGTCAATTCTGGGATTTTGACACAAAGCCAAAAAGGGAGAACAGATAATTGGGTCAGGCAATTAGCATTCTCTCCTAAATATACATATGGGGGGAACAATAAGCTTTTTATTAAAAGCTGAAACTTTAAAAAAAGTCTCATAAATTAGCTGGGTATGGTCACATGTGCCTGTAATCTCAGCTACTTGGGAAACTGAGGCATAAGAATCACTTGAACCTGGGAGGTTGAGGTTGCAGTAAGCTGAGATAGTGCCACTGCACTTCAGCCTGGACAAGAGTGAAAATAAGAAAATAAAAAAGTCAGGCCAGGCGCGGTGGCTCAAGCTTGTAATCCCAGCACTTTGGGAGGCTGAGGCGGGTGGATCACGAGGTCGAGAGATAGAGACCATCCTGGTCAACATGGTGAAACCCCGTCTCTACTAAAAATACAAAAAATTAGCTGGGCATGGTGGCGCTTGCCTGTAATCCCAGCTACTCAGGAGGCTGAGGCAGGAGAATTGCTTGAACCCAGGAGGCGGAGGTTGCGGTGAGCCGAGATCGTGCCATTGCACTCCAGCCTGGGTAACAAGAGCGAAATTCCATCTCAAAAAAAAAAAAAAAGAAAAGAAAAAAGTCATATAGAAATTGGGAAGACATAATATATCTGCTTATGATTTGAAAATGCTTTGGCTGGGCATGGTGGCTCACGCCTGTAATCCCAGCACTTTGGGAGGCTGAGGTGCAATAATGGCTTGAGCCCAGGAGGCAGAGGTTACAGTGAGCCCAGATTGTGCCACTGCACTACAGCATGGGTAACAGAGCCAGAACTTGTTTAAAAAAAAAAACACTGGACCAGGAACAGTGGCTCACGCCTTCTAATCCCAGCACCTCAGGAGGCAGAGGTGGGTAGATCATGAGGTCAAGAGATTCAGACAATCCTGGCCAACAAGGTGAAACCCTCTCTCTACTAAAAATACAAAATTAGCTGGATATGGTGGCACGCACCTGTAGTCCCAGCTACTCGAACAGCTGAGGCAGAATTGCTTGAACCCAGGAGGCGGAGGTTGCAGTGAGCTGAGATCGCACCACTGCACTCCAGCCTGGCAACAGAGAAAGACTCTGTCTCAAAAACAACAACAAAATTCTTCATCCCAGAACATTAGCTCTCTAATCTATTAAAATAGTTAAATCACCCTGAAGAGCCAAGACTTCCAGAGAAAAAGAAAGAAAAAAAAAGAAAGTAAAATAGTTAAATCATCAATTGTGAGACGTAATTAATGTCAGGTATGTCTTAACTTACTAGCAGTAGGTTACACTATAGGAAATTCCTGTTTTTTATTGTCAGAATCAAATATTGGCAATTTACACAGCTCAACCTGTAAGACAGTATCAAAGGGTGTGAATAATTTACTTAAAAAATATAAACTAGCAGATTTAGTTTACTGCCATAGTAAAATGACCAATACAGCTGAATTCCAGTAATTTTTCTCAAATGGGAAAGGAGCAAAATTACATCTGGAATATTTGGAATTGTTGCTTTATCCTTAAGCACTTCAAAATTCTTTTTCTGTTCCTAGATTAAATACTTACTGTGGTAGACAAAAAATAGTCACCAAAGAGTTCCATGCCCTAATCCCTAGTATTATGCCTGTGTATGTTAAATGACCTAGCAAAAGAGACTTTGCAGATGGAATTAATGTTAGACTCCTTTGTCAGGGCGCAGTGGTTCACACCTGTAATCCCAGCACGTTGAGAGGCCAAGACAGGAGAATCACTAAAGCCCAGGAGTTCAAGATCATGTCACCCCTCTGAACTACAAAAACTATAAGACGATACATTTGTGTTAAGTCACTGAGTTTGTAGTAGTATTTGCAACAGCCGCAAAGGAAAACTTATATACTTACCTTAATAAAACCTTGAATTTAAAGGACTCAGAAGGGTCCCTAAAGTCATTTAAAAATATTTCATTTTGCTGGGCACGGTGGCTCCCGCCTGTAATTCCAGCACTTTGGGAGGCCAAGGTGGACAGATCACCTGAGGTCAGGAATTCAAGACCAGCCTGACCAACATGGAGAAAGCCCATCTCCATCTCTACAGAAAATACAAAATTAACTGGATGTGGTGATGCATGTCTGTAATCCCAGCTACTCAGGAGGCTGAAGCAGGAGAATCACTTGAACCTGGGAGGCGGAGGTTGTAGTGACCCGAGATCGCACCATTGCACTCCAGCCTGGTGACAGAGTCAGACTCTTGTCTCTCAAAAAAAAAAAAAAATTTTTTTTTTGTAGAGACAGTGCCTCCCTATGTTACCTGGGTGGGTTTCAAACTCCTAGGCTCAAGTGATCCTCCCACCTTGGCCTCCCCAAGTGCTGGGATTACAGGTGTGAGCCACTGCACCTGGCCTAAACTGTATTTTAAAAATCCAGTTCATGTCTGGTCCCAAATGGTTCTGGTAAAATAAGTTGTGCGATGACTGGATATGTGTGAATAGCCAATAAAATGCAATAAAATATTAAAAGACTGAAAGCTACACAGCAATTATTTTTATGTAAGAACTCTAAAAAGTACTTGACAAGTTATTATGAGAAACATTTCATCTAGGACTGATTTCTAAGGCAGCATTTGAGTTTCCATAAAAATAGAACCTTCTGTCTCAGAAGGTATATCAATAAGAGTACCAGAATCTTCTATTTCCAAGTGCAGTGGTTTCTCTTGCTCACAACTCAGGTTTGAACTGTCTTTCATTTGAATATCTTCCTCTTCCAATTCCAAAGGTTTATCTGGGGCTGAAGCTACCACTTCTTCGTCTTCATTTTCATGAAGAAAGCTACAGATCATGTTGGGTCGGTAGGAGAAATCATTATCCTTTATTTGCAGCCATTCCACCCCACCTAATTTGGAGGGGTGAGGAATAAACCAAAAAAGACACATAAAAAATATTATAAAGTATATTCTTTAATTTAAATTTCTATCCTATGAATACATATCAAACTGAAAGCCCAACATACACCAAGGAACATGGTATCTGTAACCACTGATGAAATATAATTTCCATCTTATCTGGAGGCCTTGGAATGCCTATTGGGTAGGTACCATCAAAATCACTATAAATTACCAAATTCAATGACCATTCCATGCCTTTTTCCAGAGTTCAGTTCTCAGCTCATTCTGAGAAACAATTTGAGCACTTTCTGCCATCTCATGCCTTTAAGGAAACTTACTACTTCCCTACAACTTTTTTTTTTTTTTTTTTTTGAGACAGAGTCTTGCTCTGTCACCCAGGCTGGAGTGCAGTGGCACAATCTCAGCTCACTGCAACCTCTGCCTCCCAGGTCCAAGCAATTCTCCCACCACAGCCTCCTGAGCAGCTGGGATTACAGGTGCCTGCCACCACACCCGGCTAATTTTTTGTATTTTTAGTAGAGACGGGGTCTCACCATGTTGGCCAGGCTGGTCTGGAACTCCTGACCTCAAGTGATTTGCCTGCTTTGGCCTCCCAAAGTGCTGGGATCACAGGCAAGAGCCACTGTGCCCAACTAAGACTGTGACTTTTTGTTGTTGTTGTTTTTTTTTTTTTTTTTTTTTTTTTTTTTTGAGACGGAGTTTCGCTCTTGTTACCCAGGCTGGAGTGCAATGGCGCGATCTCGGCTCACCGCAACCTCCGCCTCCTGGGTTCAGGCAATTCTCCTGCCTCAGCCTCCTGAGTAGCTAGGATTACAGGCATGTGCCACCATGCCCAGCTAATTTTTTTTTTGTATTTTTAGTAGAGACGGGGTTTCACCATGTTGACCAGGATGGTCTCGATCTCTTGACCTCGTGATCCACCCGCCTCGGCCTCCCAAAGTGCTGGGATTACAGGCTTGAGCCACCGCGCCCGGCCAGACTTTTTGTTGTTATTGTTGTTGTTGAGACAGAGTTTTTTGCTCTTGTCACCCAGGCTGGAGTGCAATGGTATGATCTCGGTTCACTGCAACCTCCATCTCCTGGGTTCAAGCAATTCTCCTTCCTCAGCCTCCTGAGTAGCTGGGATTACAGGTGCCCACCACCATGCCCTGCTAATTTTTTGTATTTTTTAGCAGAGATATGGTTTCACCATGTTGGTCAGGCTAATGTTGAACTCCTGACCTCAGGTCATCCACCCACCTCAGCCTCCAAAAGTGCTGGGATTACAGGCATGAGCCACCGTGCCTGGCCAAGACTGTGGCCAAGAACTTCTAAGCCTAGTTCATAAAAGACATTGTGGCTTCTACCTTGTTTTCGTGGAATACTTTATCTCAGAGAAGCCAGCTGCCATATCAGGAGGACATTCAAACAGTCCTGTGAGGAGGACAACAGTCCTACAAGGAGGAACTGAGGCCACCTGCCAGCAACCAAAACAAATTTATAAACCATATGAATGAGCCGTTTTATAATCAGATTTCCAGCATTACTCCTTAAGCCTTCAGATGACTGCAACCCAGATAACATTTTGACTGCAACTTCATCAGAGACCTAGAGCCAGAACCACCTACCTAAACTGTTCCCAAATTCCTAATTCAAAGAAACTGTAAGATACTTGTTTTGCTGTCATTTAAAGCTGTTACATTTAGGGGTAATTGGTTATGCAGCAGTAGATAACAACTAATGCAGACTTGAATTGTTGGTTGCTCATTTATTTGACTATGCAAAACACCCAAACGTTCCCAAAGATCTGTCACATTTTTAAAAACTAGGAGGAGGAAACTCATAACTTCCTTTAATAAGAATATCTCAACAATACCTAAGCTTGTGATACATGTCAGCCTTTCAAGTTTATTCTAGAACCTAGTACTTCTTTCTTCCTACAATTATTACAAGGTTCCTAAAAGAGGGCATAGTTTGGGGATACACACGATAAGAACAAAGTATTATTATATAGTTGTATATAGGTCATGTAATTAATTCCATAAGATCAATGTACCTTCAGAAGTGTTTATTCCTTGTTAAGCTATACTCATCATGAAAATCTTATTTACTAGAATTTCAAATATGTTGTTGAGCAGTGAACCTTTAAACCATCAAATGATTATTTGTTCAGCTCCACAAACATGGGTCTGCTTCACGTGCAAAAAGTACTAGTCTAAAAGTCTCGAGTATGTGGTGACCAGCGAGTGAAGAAGAATAAGTGGATGCAAATTAAGAACTGGACTCAGGCCGGGCACAGTGGCTCACACCTGTAATTCCAGCACTTTGGGAGGCCGAGGCAGGTGGACCACCTGAGGTCAGGAACTCAAGACCAGCCTGGCCAACATGGTGAAACCCCATGTCTATTTAAAAAAAAAAAAAAGAAAGAAAAAGAACTGAGAACTGGACTAAAAGTCGAGGTGCAGTGGCTCATGCCTGTAATCCCAACACTTTGGGAGGCTGAGGTGGAAGGACTGCTTGAGCCCAGGAATTCAAGACCAGCTGGGCAACATAGTATTCTGTCTCTATTTTTAAAAACAGGCCAGGTGCAGTGGCTCACACTTTAGGAGGCTGAGGCAGGCAGATCATCTGAGGTTGGGAGTTTGAGACCAGCCTGACCAACATGGAGTAACCCTGTCTCTACTAAAAATACAAAATTAGCTGGGCACAGTGGCGCCTGCCTGTAATCCTAGCTACTTGAAAGGCTGAGGCAGGACAACTGCTTCAACTCGGGAGGCACAGGTTTCGGTGGGCCAAGATTGTGCCATTGCACTCCAGCCTGGGTAACAAGAGCGAAACTCCATCTCAAAAAAAAAAAAACTCCTCAGTTCTTTCCAATGCAAGGCAGATGAAGATTTTTATGTCCCCAGTGCTCTCAATTATATCTGAGTTCAACTGAATTTTAACTCTACACTTGGTACTTCACATGGAGAACCCTCAATTTTAATATATTAAACATAATTATAAGGCCAGCCACAGTGGCTCACACCTATAATCCCAGCACTCTATAGGCCGAGGTAGGTGGATCACTTGAGGTCAGGAGTTTGAGACCAGCCTGGCCAACACAGTGAAACCCCATCTCTACTAAAAAATATAAAATTATTACAGATGCAGTTGCTGGAAAAAAAAAAAATAGCTGGGCATGATGGGGCTGCTCAGGAGGAGGTTGCAGTGAGCTGAGAGTGTCCCAGTGCACTCCAGCCTGGACAACAGAGCAAGATTCTGTCTTAAAAAAAAAGAAAACATTATGTATAGTTATTACTACAAAGTACAAGGACTGTCCTGGCATCAATGTATCACTGTTAAAGACAATACTGGATCACCTATTTTCAGAGAATAAGAAACTAACCTATGTTTTCTTCTCCTTCCTTCTTCTCCGTCAGAAGAGTTCTTGTCATGCTGAGCTTCTTCATGGTATGGCATGCATATTTTAGCACTGTTTTATTACTGCCTTCTGTATCAGCTAGAACAGAAATGAACTCTATTATATACTGCTTATGACATCAAATAAAACAATGATGAAGCCTTAATAATTCCAGGGAGTCAGACTAAACTACTTCCTGTCAAGATAGTGTAGTAAATTCAAGGTATAACTAATACCTCCTGCTCCAAGCACAGAAAAATGACAGATAAAATACATTAACAGAGATGGGCACAGTGTCTCACACCTGTAATGCCAGCACTTTGGGAGGCTGAGGTGGGCAGATCATCTGAGGTCAGGAGTTCGAGACCAGCCTGACCAACATGGAAAAACTCTGTCTCTACTAAAAATACAAAATTAGCTAGGTGTGGTGGCATATGCCTATAATTCCAGCTACTCAGGAGGCTGAGGCAGGAGAATCGCTTGAACCTGGGAGGTGGAGGTTGCAGTGAGCCAAGATCGCACCACTGCACTCCAGCCTGGGCAGTAAGAGCAAAATTCCATCTCAAAAAAAAGAAACAAAAAAACAAAAAACATTAACAGTTGAAAGCACTACTGGATTCAAAAGTAACTAACAAACATCTCCACGGGACAGAAACACAGATTTATGAGTGAGATTAAATCCATAGGTCTAACAGGCTTCATCCCTGAAGTGGGAAATTGGGGCCAGGAATTGTACCCCATAGGGTATTGGGATCTAAAATTCTACCACTCAGAATGAAGGACTAAAGTCAGATTTACTACTTGAAGCCAAAGTATGGAGTAGGGACATTCTCAATCATGAAAGGCTGAGAAAAAAAAAATTGCTGCCAACCTGCTGCCTGGAGTTGAAACTTTCAGAAAACTGTATGTCTAGGCAGGAGGGAGGATGAGGCCCTTGTGCCAAGGAGATGAAGCACCTACTTCCATATATTGCTTCTATGAGTGTAAACTGATACCACACTTTAGAAAGTAGGCTGCTGCTCCGCCTATGAAGTAGCCCTTTTTTTATTCCTTGGCCAGGAGTGGTGGCTCACACCTGTAATCCCAGCACTTTGAGAGGCCGAGGTGGGTGAATCACTTGAGGTCAGGAGTTTGGGCCCAGCCTGGCCAACATGGTGAAACCCTGTGTCTACCAAAAACATAAAAATTAGCCAGGCATGGTGGCAGGTGCCTGTAATCACAGCTACTCGGGAGGCTGAGTTAGGAAAACTGCCTTAACTTGGGAGGCAGAGGTTGCAGTGAGCCAAGATTGTGTCACTGCACCCTAGCCTGGGCTACAGAGCGAGACCCCGTCTCAAAAAAAGAAAAAAGATAGGGCCGGGCGCGGTGGCTCAAGCCTGTAATCCCAGCACTTTGGGAGGCCGAGGTGGGTGGATCACGAGGTCAAGAGATCGAGACCATCCTGGTCAACAAGGTGAAACCCCGTCTCTATTAAAAATACAAAAAGTTAGCTGGGCGTGGTGGCGCGTGCCTGTAATCCCAGCTACTCAGGAGGCTGAGACAGGAGAATTGCCTGAACCCAGGAGGCGGAGGTTGCGGTGAGCCGAGATCACACCATTGCACTCCAGCCTGAGTAACAAGAGCGAAACTCCGTCTCAAAAAAAAAGATAAATTCAGGAGAGTGATCATCTCTGACGACAGAGGGAAAGAAATAAGTTTGGAAAGGGATACAGGACTTCAAATATATCTGGAATGGAGTTTGTTTGTTTTTGAGACACAGTCTAGCTCTGTTGCCCAGGCTGGAGTGCGCTGGTGTGATCTTGGCTAACTGCAACCTCCACCTCCCGGGTTCAAGCAATTCCTATACCTGTCTCCCGAGTAGCTAGGGCTATGGGTACACACCACAATACCCACCTAATTTTTGTATTTTTAGTAGAAATGGGGTTTTGCCACATTGGCCAGGCTGGTCTTGAACTCCTGGCCTCAAGTGATCTGCCTGCCTCAGCCTCCCAAAGTGCTGGGATTACAGGATTCAGCTCGCTCACCCAGTCTGGAATGTCTTTTTTAACTATAATCTGAGTCACGTTTGGCAAAATGGTAGGACATGCTATAGCTAGAAAATGGATGCATGAGATATTTAGTGTTTATTGTGCTTAAGTATGAGTGAAATCGTTCATATTAAAAAGGACGGGGCTAGCAATCACTTACCATGTTCAACATTTTCTTCAAATATAACACAGGTCCCAAGAGTGTCTGCAGAAAAATATGAAGGCAAATTATTGAGAAGAGCTACCATCTCTGAAAGGCCCATAACAAGAGTTCCACCAATCTGACATCCTCCTACCTTCATACTCCCCAGCAAAGACACAACTGTCCACTTGCAGAATGGGCCTCTCAGTGTCAATGCCCTACAACAGAATAAAAGATCATTAAAAAACATCATTAAGCCGGGCGCGGTGGCTCAAGCCTGTAATCCCAGCACTTTGGGAGGCTGAGGCGGGTGGATCACGCGGTCGAGAGATCGAGACCATCCTGGTCAACATGGTGAAACCCCGTCTCTACTAAAAATACAAAAAAATTAGCTGGGCATGGTGGCGTGTGCCTGTAATCCCAGCCACTCAGGAGGCTGAGGCAGGAGAATTGCCTGAACCCAGGAGGTGGAGGTTGCGGTGAGCCGAGATCGCGCCATTGCACTCCAGCCTGGGTAACAAGAGCGAAACTCCGTCTCAAAAAAAAAAAAGAAAGAAAAAGAAAAAGGCTTCAACATTGTAACCTTGCTACCAAGGAAACTAATCTCCAAAACCGGGGAACCTCTAGAGCATCTTGTCCTACCAAGTACAGGGTAAATTACAACTGCTCTGATCACAGCAGCTGCAACCTGAAGACTCCTTAATTCATAGTAAAGTAACAAGGTCTATTTCAGTCAATAACCTCTTCAAGAGTAAGCTAAGAACAGAGGAAGTTTTGTCAACAGTGCAAAAAATCTATCTAATCTATGTATCATCTATCTATTTTTTGAGACAGTGTCTTGCTCTGTTGCCCAGGCTGTAATGCAGTGGCATGGTCATGGCTCACTGCAGCCTTGACCACGAGGGTTTGGGCAGTCCTCCCACCCCAGCATCCTGAGCAGCAGGGACCACAGGCACATGCCACTATGCCCAGCTAATTTTTTATTATTATTGTAGAGAGGGGGTCTCCCTATGTTGGCCAGGCTGGTCTCCAACTCCTGGCTCAAGTGATCCTCCCACCTCGGCCTCCCAAAGTGCTGAGATGACAGGAATACACGTACTGTTCCATACCAAAATGCTACCTCCTCCAAATCTTTAACTTTCTCTTCAGCCACACATTGAGACTGGCAAGCAAAGTTAGACATTTTCTCCTATCTGCTCCCATAGTCCCCCTGGACTTCTACATTATACTTAATTATATATGAATTAATTATACTTAGTGTACGTCTTATTCTTAGAGTTCACTGCTTTGTAAGGTGAAATAAATATATCAATACTTGTGGAGAGGTATTTCACCATGCATTCTTGTTTTACATTTAAGAAACTCTGGAACAATCCCCCAAGTCTAGAAAACTCACCAAAATCTTACATTTGTTTTCACATTTTGAGAGAAAGTCTGAATCAATGATTCCTGATAATTCCACCAGAACCAACTGCTCCTGGTGAAAGAAAGAGGGGTTAACATGGTAGCACGCGAGCGGGCAGGAGGAGGCAATGAGCAAAAGCGGCCAAAAATCCCACCTTTGTGAAAACCGGACCGTGTTTTCAACAAGAGGAAGCGACGCTACCTAAGGTAACTTCCCAGTACTTCCCATCCCAAGTACGGGCTGACGATCAGGGCTGAGGTCCCACGCTGCCCGGTCCCCCGCGCCCAGGAGCAAGAACCCGCAGAGGCGCGGCGGGGCCTGCCTCCCGCCGGCAGCGCGCCGACGCCCTTCCCCACACACGGCCGGCACAGGCATCACCGCCACCGCGCTGCCGGCTTTCGGCGTAGCCCTTACTACCTCCTCTTCCTCCTCTTCTTCGTCCTCCAGACTCCGCTCGTCGACAGCCGCCATGGTCCCTCGCCGCTTCGCCTCCCAGTCACTGGCCACGCCCGCCCGGAATCGCCATCTTGAGTACGGGCAGCAGCTCCTCTGCGGAGCTGCTCTCTGGGTTCCGGCCGCTCTGCTCCTCGCCGCGCGGACCGCTCCTGCCCGGACCCGAGATGTCGGCTTCCGGCGGGCGGGTGGCTGCGGGCGTCCGGGGCGGCGGAGAGCCGCCGCGGCCGCTTCCTTGCTCGGTGCCTGAGAGCGAAGGCGGGAGTGGACTGCCGTGGGCCGCGGAAGCCGCTCGGGCACGCAAGGGCGGACCTGCGACCTGGGGAGTCGCCGGGCTCCGGGCCCCGCTGGTGGGGAGGACTGGCAGGGCAGCGGGGATCCGGGTGGGAGGAAGGAAACCATGGTTTCGGGGGATTATGGACCGGGAGACCTTGTGTGGGCGCGAGTACATTTCTTTCTTTTTGTTTGTTTTGTTTGTTTGTTTGTTTTGTTTTGTTTTCGAGTACATTTCTTGGAAAGAAATTCTTTTTTTTTTGAGACGGAGTTTCACTTGTTACCCAGGCTGGAGTGCAATAGCGCGATCTCGGCTCACCGCAACCTCCGCCTCCTGGGTTCAGGCAATTCTCCTGCCTCAGCCTCCTCAGTAGCTGGGATTACAGGCACGCGCCACCATGCCCAGCTAATTTTTTGTGGTTTTAGTAGAGACGGGGTTTCACCATGTTGACTAGGATGGTCTCGATCTCTCGACCTCGTGATCCACCCGCCTCGGCCTCCCAAAGTGCTAGGATTACAGGCTTGAGCCACCGTGCCCGGCCAAGAAATTCTTAATACTGTGTGAGCGCTGATCTTCTAGTCAACGTCCCCCAGGCCCAGTAAAAGGCACATGCAGTTTAACAAGTAATGAGCGCCTGCAGAGTAAAAAGCACTACACCAGGAGCTATGAAAAATAGAAAGTGGGCTTACATTTAAGGCCTGCAGGAGCATAGGATCTGTTAGAGGTGTATAAGTGAACTCAGGCAGGTGCTGTAAGAGGTACAGTTTGTTACAGAAATACAGAGACCAGGGCAAGAGAAGTTTGAACAGAATTTTCTTAAAGTATCCCACAGATGTTTCTGATTATCAAAGAAATGGTCTTCGTACTTAACGATAGCGTGATCTAGTGGTTAAGATCGTGAGCTCTGGATTTTAATACCTGTCAGGTTCTGCGGCATTATTAACAGCAAGGCTTTGGGCAGATTGGTTATCGTGAGGATTAAATGAGATAATACAGCCGGGCGCGGTGGCTCAAGCCTGTAATCCCAGCACTTTGGGAGGCCGAGGCGGGTGGATCACGAGGTCAAGAGATCAAGACCATCCTGGTCAACATGGTGAAACCCCGTCTCTACTAAAAATACAAAAAATTAGCTGGGCATGGTGGCGTGTGCCTGTAATCCCAGCTACTCAGGAGGCTGAGGCAGGAGAATTGCCTGAACCCAGGAGGCGGAGGTTGCGGTGAGCCAAGATCACGCTATTGCACTCCAGCCTGGGTAACAAGAGCGAAAACTCCGTCTCAAAAAAAAAAAAAAAAAAATGAGATAATACATGTAAAATAAATTTAACCCAGTATTCAGCACATGGTAAGCATTTAAAGTGCATTTAGTTTGGGCGCGGTGGCTCACGCCTGTAATCAGTACTTTGGGAGGCCAAGGTGGGCAGATCACTAGGTCAAGGGTTCGAGACCAGCCTGGCTAACATGGTGAAACCTTGTTTCTACTAAAAATACAAAAAATTAGTTGGGTGTGGTGGGGCGCACCTCTAATCCCACTCGGGAGGCTGAGGCAAGAGAATCACTTGAACCCAGGAGGCAGAGGTTGCAGTGAGCCGAGATCGCACCACTGCACTCCAGCCTAGGCAACGGCGAGACTCCATCTAAAAAAAAAAGTGCATTATTATTAGTAGTAATGTATAAATGTTTGGTTTTTTTTTTAGTATAGAGACAGGGTTTCACCATATTGGCCAGTCTGGTCTTGAACTCCTGACCTTGTGATCACCTGTCTTGGCCTCCCAAAATGCTGGGATTGCAGGTGTGAGCCACTACGCCTGACCTAAAATAAATGTTTTTAAAGCAGGAACAGCCGCAAGAAACAAAACTCGGAACTGGGAAGGAAGGGGTGATTTATTCAGCCATGAGCAAGGTGGCATAGCTGCCTCAATGCCTCACAGCCAAGCTCATCTAACAAAGAAAGACCCTGCACTTATAAAGGTTTACAGCTCTAGAGATTACCCGTGAAAGGGTCTTGGGTTTACAACTTTAGAAATTACATGTGAAAGGGTCTTGGTCCATGGAGTAGGCATGGGGTGGGGATTTTATCCTGTTTAAGTAAAAACAATTTCCTTCCTGAAAGATTCCTCCATGCCATGCCTGAGATTTATAGGAGGGTGATTAAGGTGGCACCGGTCTGCCAGCCTTTACCTCTCCTATTGAAATGAAATGTGGAAGTCAGCGGGGAGGTGGGCTTAGATGCTTAGGTCTCCCTCTTCATTTTAGTATAATGCTCTTTCTTTCTCTTTTTCTTTCTTTATCTCTTTCTCTCTTCCTCTCTGTCTTTTCTTTCCCTTCTTTTTTGTGATAGGGTCTGGCTCTGTCACTCAGCCTAGAGTGCAGTGGTGCCATTGTAGCTCCCTGTACCCTCAAACTCCTGGGCTCAAAGGGGGCCTCCTACCTCTGCTTTCTAACTGGGACTACAGGTACATGCCACAGTGCCTGTCTTTACATAATGGTTGTTGTATGAGTGTGCCATAACTTGATCCTCAATTTTTTAACACATAGGTTATTTACAATTTGTGGATATTGTAAATAACACTGTAGTAAACACTCTTCTGTGTTTTTTTGTCCAGTTACCTAATTAAATGTATAGAATTTCATAGCTTAAAAAAGTAGAAAGAACACTGGACCTGTGAGAAGTATATTTGAATTCTAGCTCTGAAACTTAATAATTGTGAACTTTTCCAACCTCAGTTTTCTTATTATATGAGGATGAAAATATTTATACTTAGGCTGGGCGCAGTGGCTCACGCCTGTACTTTGGGAGGCTGAGGCGGGTGGATCACAAGGTCAAGAGATCGAAACCATCCTGGCCAACATGGTGAAACCCCGTCTCCACTAAAAATACAAAAATTAGCCGAGCGTGGTGGCGCACGCCTGTAGTCCCAACTACTTGGTAGGCTGAGGCGGAAGAATTGCTTGAACCCAGGAGGCGGAGGCTGCAGTGAGCCGAGATTGCGCCTGGTGACAGAGCAACACTCCATATCAAAAAAAAGAAAGAAGGCTGGGTGCCGTAAGGTTCAGGAGAATTGCCTGAACCCAGGAGGCGGAGGTTACGGTGAGCCGAGATCGCGCCATTGCACTCCAGCCTGGGTAACGAGAGCGAAACTCCGTCTAAAAAAAAAAAAAGAAAAAGAAAGAAAGAAAATTATATTTATCGTGTCTTTTTTGCTTGGAAAGCAAAAAATCGTATATCTAAAAATGCTTAGTAAATTGAAAAATTACATAAATTGTCAGATTTTTGGCTCCCCAAAATATGGGGAGGATAGGGAGGAATGGACCATCCAAGACAGAGCAAGACTCTGTATCAAAAAAAAAAAAAGAAAAAGAAAGAAAATATTTATATTTACCGTGTCTTTTTTGCTTGGAAAGCAAAAACTCAATCATATATCTAAAAATGCCTAGTAAATTGAAAAATTACATAAATTGTCAGATTTTGGCTCCCCCAAAATATGGGTAGGATAAGGAGGAGTGGACAATCCAAGCTGGGGGAACAGCAGAAGCAAAGGCTTAAATGTCGAAGGAAAATAAAATGAACAGAGTAGTTTAAATAATAAGCATAACATAGGCCGTCGCGGTGGCTCAAGCCTGTAATCCCAGCACTTTGGGAGGCGGAGGCGGGTGGATCACGAGGTCGAAAGATCAAGACCATCCTGGTCAACATGGTGAAACCCCGTCTCTACTAAAAATACAAAAAAACTAGCTGGGCGTGGTGGCGCATGCCTGTAATCCCAGCTACTTAGGAGGCTGAGGCAGGAGAATTGCCTGAGCCCAGGAGGGGGAGGTTGCGGTGAGCTGAGATCCCGCCATTGCACTCCAGCCTGGGTAACAAGAGCGAAACTCCGTTTCAAAAAATAAAAAATAAAAAAATAAGCATAACATAAGTACTAGTTAACTAAAAGTAAAGGCCATGTTAGAATTGTACAGAGGCAGCCAGTCGTGGTGGCTCATGCCTGTAATCCCAGCACTTTGGGAGGCTGAGTCGGGTGGATCACGAGCTTAGGAGTTCAAGACCAGCCTGACCAACATGGTGAAACCCCTTATCTACTAGAAATACAAAAATTAGCTAGGTGTGGTAGCAAGGGCTTGTAATCCCAGCTACTCAGGAGACTGAGGCAGGAGAATCGCTTGAACCCAGGAGGTGGAGGTTGCAGTGAACTGAGATCATGCCATTGCACTGCGGCCTGTGCGACAGAGTGAGACTCTGTCTCAAAAAAAAAAAAAAAAAGAGTTGTACAGAGGCTAAGAAATTTAAGTAATCCCGCCCTAGTGCAAGTTTATCTTGCATTCTAGGCTAGGTTGTAAACTGTATTTAGAAAGAAGTAAAGGCTAGCAGACCGGGCACCACCCTTAATCACACTGGATCTAAACACTGAAGGCATAGTATGGAGAAACTCCCTCCATTGTTCTTGCTCAATCTTGCTCAAACCCCCACCTGGTCAGATACCCCAAGCCTACTTCATCCATCACAACCCTCTCACATGTACTGTCTAGAATTAACAGCCTTTAAAAGGGCTGGGATTTTCTTTGTCAGGGAGCTCATTTCTTTAATCGCAAGTCTGCCAATACTCTCCCGGCCGAATAAAAGCCACTTCCTTCTTTAACTCTGGTGTCGGGGAGGTTCTGCAGCTTGTCCTGCTACAGAGGAATAAAAATACGTGCATTTTGGAAGATTAGTGTGTTATAACTCAAGATGCCCCTTTAAAATAAACAAGCCTCATACTTCTAGCAAAGGTTATTATTGTTCGATATTTACGAAGTAATTATTATTTTTTATTTACTTTTAATGGGTTACAAAAGAATACACAAGAATACACAGTTAAAAGTGAGCCTTTTTTTTTTTTAACTTTTTTTTTTTTTTTGAGACAGAGTTTTACTTTTTTTTTTTTTTTTTCGAGAC